AGTTCCTTGTTTTGCTTGTGAGCTTCCTAGAAAATTGTAGGCTTACAGTGGGGAGGTAAAAAAGGCAGTGTGTGGCCATACACACTTAGGCGTTGAGCATGGTTCACTGTTATTATAGCAGACTTCTCTGCGATCTCTACATAAAAGGAATGTCTTTATGTAGGCAACCTTCATGGCAAAGACTGTTTAGCCATGCTAGGCTTGCTTCTTTCCTCCCAGCTAGAGATCGCAATCAGACCTCAGAGTGAGCAGCTCCTGTTCCTGACTATGTCCCTTTAATTTTCTGCATCTCTCTGTCCTGCTTCACTTTTGATATCTTCCAGTGAACAGAATTTTCCACATGTACGAGCCTTTCTTAGCTTCTACAACTTCATGTTTTTAGGAGCCACAGTGACCATCACAGTTCTGCATCAATATTCTTGTTCATTTTTTCTGTCTTATAATAGAGAAAACATGTTTTCTGGATCACACAGCCAATATTTCTACCAAAAATAGCCTAATAGTAATGTTCCAGTTGTTCTTGTAGGTGTTCTTAGTGTATTTGCTACTGATGATTTGGACACTTAGAGCTATGACATTAAAATATTTTTTCCGTATTATTATAATCAGTTCAATATAAATTGATTTTATTTGTTTCTCTTTTAAGTCAATTTTAGCGTTTTAAAATCTCTTTCATTTTATTTTTTTTACACTTACATATTTGTGTGTGTGTGTGTGTGTGTGTGTGTGTGTGTGTGTGTGTATGTGTGTCTGTGCTACAGCACACTTGTGAAGTCAGTTTGAGGGAGTCAGTTCTTTCCTTTAACCATGTGAGTTCTGGAGATTCAACTCAGATGATCAGGCTTGGCGGCAAGTTCCTTTACCCACTGAAACACCTTACCTGCCTTCATTTTATTTGCATATTTTTATTTTATTGAAGCAAAATGTCGTGATATTCCCAGTGGCCTCGAACTCACTGACTTACCCAGATGCCCTTAAATTTAGAACCCTCTTGTCCAGCCTTCCATATGCTAGAAATACAGGCATGAGCTACAATTCCTCACTGATTTCATTTTATTTGAAAAATGCAAAACATAATAAAATAGCAAGAAGATATTGGACAATTTCACTCTTTCCTAATCCATCATCCATTCCATTCACACCTGCTTCATCTGAGAAACAAGTTTTTCTAATTTGTGGCTTTATCTTTCCAAAGGTTTTTAGTCAGTGCTGGAGAGATGGCTCAGAGTTTAAGAGCACTTACTGCTCCTGCAGAGGACCTGAGTTTCGTTTTCAGCACTCACATGGTAGCTCAAAACTACCTGTAACTGAAGTTCCAGGAGACCCAACATTCCCTTCCAGCCTTCCCAGGCACCAGGCATGCATGTGGTCCACACACACAGGCAGGCAGACACTCATACACATAATAAAACTAAATAAATCTTATGAGGTTTTTGTCAAAAAGTTGCTAATGTATGTACCTTTTTATTTCTCTTTTTCCATAAAACAAATGTTGTTTACACTCCTTTGCTTTTTCTCTTCTTTCTCTCAGCTAGTAAGGCCCAGGAATTGCTCCATATTGTTCATGGAGTTGTTTGCTCCTTTCATGGATGGCTGACTACTGCACAGATGTTCTTTGGGATATCTAACCAGTCTCCTGTGAGTGGTTCTTTGGATTTTTTTCTCATTATACACACTGCAGTTTTGGAAAAGTGAACAGACTGCCCGAAGAATTCAAAGCACAAGAGTTCAAAATCAGATTTCTTTTTTTTAAATTCATTGATCCATTCATTAGACAACAATTATTGGGTATTGGAAACTAATATTAGAACACTAGTCACCATGATGTGTTAAATCACTTGAGTTAACGAACATGGGTTCCCTCGTAGAGAAGTTGTCTGGATTTATGAGGCATAGGCAGTTGACGTGAAGTAAGGATACTGGGGACAGTGTTTCAGGAAATTGAGTTTTTATCACCTCTCTGACTGCACAGACACTGTGCTCATTAGTTTCTGACACCTTGACACAAGCTTGGGACATACAGGAAGAAAGAACCTCAACTGAGAAAATGCCTCCACCAGATTGTTGTGTATTCAAACTCTGTAGTGGCAATTTCTTAATTAGTGATTGATGTGGGAGGGCCCAGCCTATGGTGGACAGTGCTAACCTTTGGCAGGTGGTCCCGGGATATATAAGACAGCCATGCAGAACAAACCAGTAAGCAGCATTCCCTGTGGTCTCTGCTTCAGTTCATGACTCCAGATTCTGGACTTGAGATCCTGCCTTAGTTTCCCTCAATGGTAGGCTGTGTCTGGACGTGTAAGTTAAAAATAAATCTTTCCTCTCCAAGTTGTCTTTAGTTGTGTTTATTACAGCAAGAGAAAGCAAACGAGGACAGACATGATGAATAATCATGTCACCGATAATTAAAGTCTGTGCCCACAGGTCTGAGGCAGAACTCAGGACTTATTTAGCTGGGTAACCCAGTGCCCTACTTCTTTTCTTGTTGCTGTGACCATGACCAGAAGCAACTCAAGGAGGAAACTTCAGCACGCAGTTTGCAGCCTGTCACCGAGCAGAGACAAAGTAGGATTTCAAGGCGGAAGCTTGAAGCAGAGACCCTGGAGAAATGTGATTCCTGGCTTGCTCCCAGGCTGCTTTTCTTATACAGTCCAATTCCACCAGCTTAGGGTTGGTACTGCCCGCAGTGAACTGGACTCATCTAGATCAATTAGCAATCAAGAAAATACCCCCACAGACAAGGTCAGATCACCAATCTGATGGGGACAATTCTTCGTTTGAGGTTCCATCTTCCCAGATGTGTCAAGCTGACAACCACACACCTAGGTTTACTTTTTGATGTTGATAATCTTAAATAAATATAGGGCACATAATACATTCATATTCATAATGTATATGTGTGCACATATAACACATAGTCTGTTCTCTTTATCCGTGAGATGTGTGAATTCAAACAATTTCATATAAAAACAGAAAAAATTTAATCATATCTGTACAGAACATGCAAAGACTTTTTCCCTTTGTCATTAATCCCTTAAAAATACCCTAACCATCATTTACAAAATGTTTACATATATTAGGCATTAAAAGGAATCTAGAAATGATCTTAAAGTATATGGGAGGTTGTGTGTAGTCTACTTGAAAATATGAAAATGTGTCTGCTAAAGGTCCTATACATACTGAGGGGAAAATGTATATACATTCTTTTAAATTTTTTTAGGTTCATTTATTTTATATGCATGAATGTTTTGCCTATATCTATGTATGTGCCTTATGTGTATGTATGCCTGGTATCCAGAGAGGTCAGGAGAGGGTAACAGATTCCCTGGAACTAGAGTTATGGATGTTTGTAAGCCACTCTGTGGATGTTGACAAATGAGCCCAAGTCCTCTGCATGAGAAAAAGGTGCCCTTAACTACTGAGCCATCTCTCCAGCCCTAATGTATTTTTTAAGAGTATCTATTATTGTTGTTGTTACTGTGTGTGTGTTGGTGTGTATGTGCTGGTATGTATGTGTGCTGGTGTGTGTGTGTGCTGGTGTGTGCATGCTGGTGTGTGTATGCCGGTGTGTGTGTTTGTGTGTGTGTACTTTCATGGCAGGGCATGAATGTCAATATCAGAGAACAACTTTGTAGAATCAATTCTCTCCTTCCACATTTGAGTAGAGTCAGGAATTGAACTCAGGTGATCAGGCTTGAGAGGCAAGTGCTGAGCCATCTCTCAGGCCCACACAAACTCTATGTATTCCTCTCTGATAAAAGTGAGTATTTTATATTTTATTTATATATATTTAAATAAGAGTTAACTTTTATTCTTAAAAATTGCACACCATAACTGAACTCAATTCTTCCAGAAAATGGAGAAAAAAGGAAGCTAGCACTCTGCTGACACAGAGGGAGCATGTTAAGCTAACTATACTTAATGCTATATTGAAAACTTGTTCTGCTGCTTTTTATGCTGAGGGACAGGCTGCGGTATTTGGTATTTAACGAGGGTAGCAATATGCAGCAGTTAATGGATTATTACTTAGTGGTGTGTGTTTTGCAGTGATTACCACACAGCTCTCAAGTGACTTGGATTCCTATTTCATGCCCCAGTTCTGTGGATAGTAGGGAAAGAAAGAGGTGATTTTAAACAACCACTCGTCTTGTTTTAATGTCAGGCTCCTGTCCATCAAGCTGGTCCATAAGCAGCATCAGAAACGGACCACAACTCAAATCCTCAGACCACTAGAACACTAATAATTTCGAAGGTCTCACAGTTTTTACATTTCAGTAGGAGCCGAGAACATGCATCTCTTCTGAACACCTTCCTTCTTCAACAGTTGGAAGGGTAGTGGAATTTAAGCACCAAGAATCCAGTAGGTTTGGTTTCTTCTAGGCAGGGCCAAGCCTGCAAGATGCTGGAGTAAGCAAAAAGGAACCAGAGAAATGAGTAATGCAGGCTGCAAAGGATGGAGCTGTGGGGGCAGGGAGGGCTGGCCCGGGAGGTCAGCACTTCATAACTAGCAGTTGTTATTTTAAGTGGTAGTTATTACCACTATCAGCACTGATGTGTGTGTGCGCGTGTGTAATCACCGCTGCCACCTCCATCAAGGTCCCTTGCATTTCCCAGTCAAGACCTCCACCTCCAGCCAGCAGCTCCTGCCTGGGTGAGTCATTTCTAGAAGGGCCTCCCGGGGGTGTCGACTTCCCAGACGGCAGGAAATCCCCTTTGGAAACGCTTCTGGCTGCTGGGCACAGGCCTTCCCCCGCCCCCAACGCGGGCGCCCCCTGGGGGTGACGACCGTGCCCCCGGGTTTCGGGTTCCGGGCACTGGCGCCCCGCCCTCCACCCGCTGGGCCCGCCCAGCTGTCCCGGCGCGGGCACCGGCCACAGGGTCCGCGGCTCTCCATCGAGGACCATGGCGAGGCTGAGCTGGGGATACGGCGAGCACAATGGTGAGCGCAGGCTCCAGCGTGGGGCAGGTACCGGCCAGCCGGAGATCTGAGCCCCGTGGGTGGATGGGGGTCGGGGCCGGGGTCCCGTGTGCTCTCTCGGGGCGGACAGAAGTGTTCAGTCACCTTCACTCAAAAAGCCCACCACTGTCCGGGGAAAGCCTGAGAGGTCAGAAGTCAGGTGACACACTTGTGAGGAAAAAGGACAACTTGAGGGCGGCCTGAGCACTGATCTCTAAGTCACGGGATGCCTTCCAGAGGCTGTTGGAGAAATCTTGGTAACTTGTAATTTGCATACTGATAGGAGGCTTACTTAGAACTTGTTCTTCACTTTTCCTTTCCTACCATACCTATCCTTCCAGAGATCAAGGCTTAGCAGATGATTATAGAAATCATAACGTGGCGCCAAGTGTACTTATTGATAAGCGTGGCAATGAGATATGTACTTTCCTTCATATAGTAAATGTATTAGAGATAAAACCGGTTTCTTGTTGGTCTATTGAACTGATGGCTTCAAGTAATTATTCTAAAGAATTGCAAAGAAATACCAGGACAGCATTGATAGAAGCCTGTCAAAATGGAGTTTGTGAATAACATTAAAAACTTCGTGTACACTATTGGACGGTATTCTACAGTACATTTTATGCAAAGTTTACTGAAATTGTTCCTTTCTTTTATTTTTATATTTTCCTTTTTGTGTTATGAGATGAGGTTTCACTCTGTAGCTTAGACTGGGCAGAACTGGTGGTCATCCTCCTGCCTTGCATGGAAAATTTTCATTTCTAATTGCAGCTTGCTTGAGGTTGTGATGACTAATGTTACTTTTAAAATGGCACCAGATGAACTTTAGAATTTTAAGAATGAAATTTATAATTTAGGTGAGTTTCTTTTGACGTAAGTCACAATAACAATCTTACATTTCACTGTCTTCTGATTTGTGTTTTGGAAAGACAATCTTCATTCATTTTTGTCCCCGATGGAATCATTTTTATTGTTGTTATTTGGCAGTTTTAAGGTTGTGTTAGCCAAGAGGTACTGACTGCACCCTAGTAGGTAGAAAGTATTGGTTTCAGTAAAATTCTTCTCCAGAAAATTTAAAAATTCTGAAAAGGCATTAACAAGGAATCATTTTTACATTTTATTTATTTTTTAATTTTAAAAAAGATTTATTCATTTTCTTTTAAAGCAATGTTTATGAGTATTTGGCTTGAATGTGTGTTAGTGCACCACATGCATGCCTAGTACCTGAGGAAGTGAGAAGAGGGTATCGGATCACCTGGGACTGGAGTTATAGATGATTGTGAGCCACTATGTAGGTCTGGAAATCAAACCCAGGTGCTTGGCAAGAGGAATGTGTGCCTTTTACTGCTGAGCCTTCTCGATGGTCCCTACATTCTACATTCTAGCTAGGAGTTGTGGAACGATTCTTGTCTTTCGGATACGGTGGTTTTAAGAGGACTGCACCTTGAAGGCAGATTTTGTTGGGAAAATTTTGTTGGGATGTGCTGCATCCTAACTAAGCACGCCTTGTTGTTTTTTCTTGTATAGTCATTGGCAGATTAAGGGGATCTTGAGTTGAGAGCAGCAGTGATTAATGGAACGGAAGGGAAACTCTGGACAGAATGCCTGTTCTCAAGCAGCTTGTCACTTCTTCTACTACCCTTTGATCATTTTTATTGATTTAAGCCATGTGACATCACCAAGCATTATATATCACTATGGATATTCAAAAATTCCCCAAACCATTGAGGAACCATGTACCTTTCACTTAAGAACCATGTTTAAGTGGGTTTAAAGTTGAATATGCTCGAAAATGTACGAAGGCAGGTCTCTTTTAAGAGGCACAATAGTACAAATGAATAGATAAAATTGACTATTTGATCCAAGTTTTTTTTTTTTAATCTTGAATAGATTTGACTTCTCTATAAACTGATCTGGTTATGAATGGCTAGGAATTGATGAAGAAAGTGATTAGGAAATGAAAACAGCCCTTTGCCTGTTGTAAAAATGTTTGCACATTGTGATGCATGCATTGCATATTTGAAATCTGGTACTGAAATCTGGTGCCCATTAGATTAACTTATATGTGATGTCCATGAAATAGAAAGATTTTCTATATTAAATAAGAAGACAAGATTGTGAACAGAAAGAGTAGTCACGCAGAAAGATAAGGGAAATGACCTAATAAGAAAATGTAATGCACTTTCTATAGTGTCTTCTGAGGATTTTTAATGCAAAATTGCTATGACTCGAAGTATCTGATTCCCAGGACACCTATTGAGCAGAGTATTGTCATGTGTTCATGTTGCAGCTTTTTTTTTTTCAGGAACCCGTGTGAGCAATAATGTTATATTTACTGACACGGTGTAGACATTTTATTTGGATTATTCTGTGTGAAAGATTTGTGTGTGTCTTGGGTAGACCAGTTGTACATCACAGGTAACTGAGTTGAGTTGAGTGACACCTGAGGATATCTGTTATCGGTGTAACAAGCAAACTAACAGGCAGTATCTTTAGAATGACTGCTTTCTTTGACACTTAACATCATCTTTTTATCTCTTCTCCACAGACTTCCTGGCCTCTGGAGCAGCCAGGGCACATTCTTGATTTTGAGATGGAATTTTTTTGTTTGCAAAAATGACTTGTACTTTTGTTTTAGTTAGTAAGTAGATACTTTGGGAAGTACTTTATTAAATATAAATATTCTTTTACCTATAAGCACATTTTAATTCTGAAAACGACTTAAAGCAGATAAAATGCTTTCCATACCCACAAAACACTAGTCTTGGTTAAAATATAAGTATGGGGGCCCTGAGAATGAGAATATTACTTTTCCTAATCTTTTTTTTTCAGGGTGGGGTTGTGGGTGATGTGCTTGTGTATATGAGTGTTTTCTTGTGTGTGTGTGTATGTGCATGTGCATGTGTATATGAGTGTTTTCTTGTGTGGGGGTGTATGTGCATGTGCATGTGTATATGAGTGTTTTCTTGTGTGTGGGTTATGTGCATGTGCATGTGTATGTGAGTGTTTTCTTGTGTGTGAGGTGCATGTGTATGTGGAGACCAGAGACTGACCTTGGTTGTCGTTCTCATTTGCTGTCTACCACCTTTTGCATCGAGGCAGAGTCTCTCGCTGAGCCTAGAGGTAAGTGATTCATTTAGTCTAAACCAGCCTGCCTTCTCCAGACACCCTCTGTCTCTGCCTCCTAAGTGCTAGATTACAAGTGAGCTGACACACTCACCTGGCATTAATGTGGATGATGAGGCCCCAAACTCTCATCCTCACATTTGTCCAAGCACTTTATCCATGGAGCCAGCGCTCTAGTTGCCTGTTATCAACATTAATTTGCTGAATGAAGAACTTACTTAGACCTTTTCTTTTGGCATATCAGGCCCTATTCACTGGAATGAATTTTTCCCCATTGCTGATGGTGATCAGCAGTCTCCGATTGAGATTAAAACCAAAGAAGTGAAATATGACTCCTCACTCCGACCTCTCAGTATCAAGTATGATCCTACCTCAGCTAAAATCATCAGCAACAGTGGCCATTCCTTCAGTGTTGACTTCGACGACACAGAGGACAAATCAGGTTGGCTCTGTTTCTCTATTTGTTGTGCTAAGACTTTGGATAGTTAGATTTATTCTCCTATCTTTGATTCTGGAATTCAAATATTATCTATTTGGACCTTAAGATAATGTTACCATTAAATAGTAGAGAAAATGTGTAGGAAAAAGTGTTCCAGATGATATTTAATAATTGGCTTTAGGTTATTATTACTTAACTGCGAAAATATTGAAATTGAATAGTATTTCATAAATGATTTTAATCTTTTTTCTGGAAACTTTAAATTTTTTAGATTTATTTATTTTATATGTATGAATGTTTGCTATGTGGATGTCTGGAAGTTACGATGGCTGTGAGCCCCCATATGGGTGCTGGGAATCGAACCCAGGTCCTCTGTACAATAGAAACAAATACTCTTAATCTTAGCTGCTGAACCATTTGTCTAGTCTTCTGTTTCTGGAAAGTGTTTAGTCATGATTATTTTGCTAATTATGGTAAACCTATAGTAGTAAGAGACTTGCTTTTAAAATCTCTTTTATTTGCTTACGATCATAATATGTATGTGTAGTAAACAAAACATACAGAAATGTAGAATAAAAATTAAGTCTATCCCTACAGTTTATTATTATGTAAGCAGTGTGGCACCCATAAATGTATAGTCACACATGTATACACAGTCATGTCATATTATTTTACACTTGCTTTTTAAATTACATTTAGGCTGATTTATATTATTCTGAAAATTTTTCCTATTCAAAGTACTTCATGGATATTTTCCATTAGAATGTGTAGATCTAATGCCTTTACTAGTAGATGAGATATATCAACTACTCTTTTATCATAATTTATACATTATTGTCCTAACAATGGACATTTCAGAAGGAAGGAAAGTAGATATTTAATTTAAAAGTAGAAATATTTAAAAACATCTATCCTAATTTATACTTTTCAACTTGTAATAAAAACTATATTTAATTTGTTCATGGGTCATATCTTTCACAATGTGAATTGTGGACATACAAAATGAAATTTTAATAAAAATTTAATTCACTTGTCAGTTTATTACCTAAAGAGAGAATAAATAATATTTATTTAAAATGAATATTTAATACTCTTTGAGCCTATCTGCTGCCAAGTATGGATGATACTGTGTTAACAATATATATCCCAATGCAAAGATGTGAAAACTTTCCTGTCATTTGTGTTTGCATGCGTCTGTATTAGGGACACAGCATTTGGTCTGTTTGCCGTTTTGGCCTAGGATGCATGAGAAGTATATCAGATAGATACAGTTAGGAGTTCTTAGAAGCATACAGGAAAATCATTGCAGGAACCGGCTAATACATCACCAAGACTTCTTAAGCCATGGCTTGACCTTCAGAAAAGTCCTTGACCTTTCCAAGTAATAGCTTTTGTCATAGTAGCTGAATTCCATTACATTTTCCTGTGGCTCACGGCACCTGTACAGTGCCCTTACGGAAGTTAATGTTGGTCCCAAGGATTGAACTCAGGTCATCAGGCTTGCCTGGCAAGCACTTTCATCCCCCGAGCCGTGTCATTAGCTCCTCATTAAGGACTTATAAAATTTCATCACTTACTTCATCAGCTTATAATTGAAGTCATCATATCCTGTTTTTGTAAAGGCGTTGTGGTTAGTGAAGAATTGCAAGGTTGTGCAAATGTCTCCCGTTTGTCCTGTCATCACAGTGATCCCTTTCTGTTGACCTGTATAAAATACATAAGGAAAAATGAGTTTGATGTTTCTTTTTATGTGAAGCAGAAAGGGGAAACCTGCCTTATTATAAGTATTCAACTTTATTTCCTCCAGGTTTGCAGTTTTGTGAATATGTAAATAGGTGTGCTTAGTGTACTGAGAAGTTTGGAAAAGCAGTCCAAAGTTTCTAAATAGCAAGTTGCTATCATCCACATTTTATATACTTTTTATAATATTTCAGATATAAAAAGTCTAACGCTACTTACATCTAATATTAGAATAAAAAGTGTTGAGGTCATACTTCAAAGAGATTTTCTTTATGAATATTAGTATTTTTATTGGAAAAGAATCCCCAATTCAATTTGATCTGAAGTAGTCTAGGTCTCTCTCTCCCCTCCTCCTCCCTCTTTCCCCCCCTTTTCTCATCTCCCCATATCTCCTCACCCTTCCCTCCCCTCCCCTCCCCTCCTCTCCACTCTTCAACTCCTTTGAGACAGGGTCTCTCACTGAACCTGGAGCAAGGATGGTAGCCTGTAATTCCCAGAAATTCTCCTGTGGCCACATCTAGATCTTTTTTTTTCTTTTGTTTTTGTGGTTTGTTTGTTTGTTCTCCTGAGTCAGAATAACCCTGTGAAGTCCTAGCTGACCTGGAACTTACTATATAAACCAGGCTGTCCTTGAACTCAAATAGAGCTGCCTAATTCTGCCTTTAGAGGACTGGGATTAAAGGTGGGAGCCACCACTCCTATCCCTGGCCTTTAAATGCTGGCCCACATGCTTGTATAGCAAGTGCTCTTACCCACTAAGCCACCAGTCTCTAACTCCAAAAAACTGTTCTTTTTTATATATATATTTTTTTAATTTTTGGTTTTTCAAGACAAAGTTTCTCTATGTAGCTTTGCACCTTTCCTGGAACTTTGTAGATCAGGCTGGCCTCGAACTCACAGAGATCCACCTGCCTCTGCCTACCGAGTGCTGGGATTAAATGTGTGTGCTACCACCGCCCAGCTCCAAAAAACTGTTCTTGACCAAAAATTAACTCTGAATGTTATCAGTGAACACAGCAATGACATAGAATTGTCCTCATGCCCCTTGAGGGTTTTACTTGGTTCAACACCTGCACATTGCCTAGCCTGCAGACACCCACCCTTCAGAATGCCAATAGTCCTTTAAAAGAGGACAAATGGATATGAGATTCTGTAGGAAGAGTGTCTACTGGGCATAGAGGAGGCCGATGAGGAAAGAGAAACCTGATGGGGTAACCGGGCTGCTCTTGCCTGTGATACTTGTCTTTCTAGACTCAGAACTCGCTTTTCTCAGGCTCTCACCTAACTCTGGCTCTCCTGGTGTTCTGAGCTTCCCACACTGGTGTAACTGTCAGGTTGGCATCTCTTGACCTCCTACATTAGTGTTTTATTTGGAAGAAGTTTCTTTTTGGAAATTCGAAATGAAAGAAAATAATAGCAGGTGTGACTTTGAAGAAGTTATTACTTGTTTTAAAGAATAAAATAGGGGACTGGAGAGATGGCTCAGTGGTTAAGAGCACTCACTGGCTGCTCTTCCAGAGGACCCAGGTTCAATTCCCAGCACCCACATGGCGGCTCACAACTGTCCATAACTGCGGTTCCAGGAGACCCAACAACCTTCCACAGGCAAAATAAAACACCAATGCATGTAAAAACAAATAAATAATTTTAAAAAAAAAAAAAAGGCCAGTCTCTTCAGCTTCTGGAGGGACTGTGTCGCCCCGGGTACCCGTGTTCCTGAATAAAGCCTCTTGCTGTTTGCATCTGAAAAAAAAAAAAAAAAAAGAATAAGATAAAGACAATAGTTTATTATTTACTCATCTGGGCCAACTTTATTCAAAGCGGCACACCATTTATTCTCTGCAGGTTAAGAGGAGTCCCGTGAGTTCTGACAGGGAGGCTGAAGTAGGAGGGTCATGTTCCAGCCTGTCTAAAAAGCCGAAAAGAAGCAGCGGCGGTGCACACGCCTTTAATCCCACATTCAGGAGGCAGAGGCAGAGGGATCTCTTAAGTTCAAATCCAACCTTTCTACAGAGCAAGTTCCAGGAGAGCCAGGGCTACACAGACAAATCCTGTCTCGAACCCTCCTCTCCACACAAAGAAAGCTCAAAATAAACTTTGTACCACACATTAACTGTTTTATTACAGACCCTAAAAACCTAATATTTGTTTGTTTGGAGTTTTTTGTTTGTTTGTTTGTTTGTTTGTTTTTCCAGACAGGGTTCCCTGGCTGTCCTGGAACTCACTCTATAGACCAGGTTGACCTTGAACTCAGAGATCCACATGCCTGTACTTCTCAAGTGCTGTAATTAGATGTGCACTATCACCACCTGGCTAAACCTAGATATTTTAAGCTCACTTTTTCTGACCTAATTTTTTGGAAGAGTCCTATTCAAAAGAACAGTCTTCTCCACAATTAGGCATTTGCTTATCATAAACTCACTTGGATAGTTTACTGAAATACTGACCTGTGCAGTCTGAATATGTAAGCCGTAAAACAATCCGCACAGCTTAGCCTGCAAAGCCAGCTAACCTGACTTTAACTGTGACCTCTACAGCCATTATTCTTGGATGTCTCCCTAACAATGTGTGTTGTTTGTATCACTTTCTTTCTCCAGAGCCAGCTTGCCTGAGTCTTCTCCCAAAGTCAATTCCACATTGATTACTCAAGCCCTCTAATCTCCTTTCTATCTGCAAGGGAATGACTCTTTGGCCAGCTCAGATTTTGTTATGCAACAGCTAGGAGGAAAAGCACAATAGAGCCCTTGACTAGCCTCCTTCAGGTGTCGTTCCAGCCCCAGTCAGTGCAGGCTGTGTAATGAAATATGACTGGCGTCACTCAGGGGGACCTTGGTGAATCGATTTAACGACAAATCAAATATCTTATCCATTTATTCATCAGATATTTGCGCATCTCCTCTGACAGTCACTAAGCTAGGTGGTGGTGATAGCAGGATCCAGTCTCTGCTTTCACCAGCGCAGCGCAGGACAAGAAGAAGCAATAAAAGTAACTATGTTTCACAGAGTAAAGCAAGAGCAAGCTCACAGACGGATCGAAATGGTGGTCTCTTCTTTTTTTATTGTTCAGAGTGCTTTGAAATAGCCATCTTTTGGTATTATCATTTTTAATTTTTATGTGTGTGTGTGTGTGTGTGTGTGTGTGTGTGTGTGTGTGTGTGTGTGTGCCACATACATATGGATGCTAGTGGAGGCCAGAAAAGGACACTGGATCCCCTGAAGCTACCTGACATGGGGAGTGAGACTTGAACTTGGGTCCTCTGGAAGAGCAGCAAGCACTCTTAACTGCTGAGTCACTCCTCCCACCCCACCCTTATGTATTACAAAGATATCTACATCAACATGCTTTTTTATATAAGGTGGATAAGGTTTGGAATTTAAGACTATGTTTGTGTGTGTGTGTGTGTGTGTGTGTGTGTGTGTGTGTGTGTGTGTGCTGGTGCATGTGTGATGTGTGATGTGTGCACATACATCACTCTTACACTCTCTGAAGAGTAATTTAAATATCTGTTGTTATGTGTTTGTTTCTCCAGTCTAACACAATTTTGTTGTATGTTGGTGGAGTTTAGTGATGTGTATGGTGTATTCAGCACACAATGTTTCCTTTCTGTCCCTATGTCTGCAGCATACAACAGAATTAGGCAGAAATAATTTAGAATTCTCTTCTGTTCTCCTTCCTTCCCCTCCATTTCTTTCCTCTCTCCTTTCCTTCCTCCCTTTTCTTTTTCTTTAGTTTGTTGCACAGGCTAACTTCAAACTCACTGGATAGCCCAGGGTACCAGGATTACAAGCATATGCCTTACGCCTAGTTTAGGACTGCTTTGTATTAAAGTGTGTTTCTATATACTTCTGATATAATTTTATTATCATCATCTTAGAGATAATATTTGCTGAATATAAGGAAAACACTGAAATATACTCTATCAAAGTGACAAAGACATCTTGGAGTTTTAAAAAGTAATTTAATTTCATCCTGTATTTTCTGTTTCTTCACAAGTACAGACTCCAAGCACAGAAGGTGTGCCAGTCCTTACGGTTATAGCAATAGCTACACCATGGAAGCAGTGGGTAGCAAGTCTGCAGTACTGTTGTGTGCTAGGCATTGGAAGGTGTCTTGCTTACCCTGTTTCTTCTATTTGCACAATGGTCTTAGGGAGACTGTATCACTCTCTCCAGTGGTTAGATGCATAATTGGCAGCTTAGAAGGTCAGTTTTGTCCAAGACTATGCAGATGTAGAAAGTCAAGACCCTGGCCATCTAGACATCCTGCAGAGCCTGTATCTAATCATGCAAGCTGTTTGGCTCTCCCAAGCTCACAATGAATCCCTTTTGCATTTTGTATTCTTATTCAGAGACTCTGGCTTGCTCTCAGTTAAACAGAGAGGATTTTCACTTTGAGAATTCAAATCTTTTCTCTTTGCTGCCTGTGGGTGTGTTGTGACTTGCCAAGTATTCTGTAAAAATTTACATGGTGGACTCTGTTTCCAGTCTTTTGTTTTCACTCTTCCTATCTGTAAAATTGTATCTGTATCTGCAAACAGTTCATTTGTAAGGACAGGAATGTGTTTAGTGATTCAGGGAGAAGTTATGGGTTTTGATGGGATGGGTAACTGTGATTTTTCTTGCTAACCATTTAAAATGTGTTGGTGTTTAGTTCTTCGTGGAGGTCCTCTCTCTGGAAGCTACAGGTTGCGGCAATTCCACCTGCACTGGGGGTCAGCAGATGACCACGGCTCTGAGCACGTGGTAGATGGAGTGAGATATGCTGCAGAGGTAAGCTGCCTGTATAACCTACTCCATAGGGGAAGCCTTCCATCGCCCCAGTACATCTTCAGCTGCTTAGACACCTCAGTGTCTGAGACAGCATCATTATCTAACAGGAGAACTTCAAACGTGACCTTTCATAGCCTTGAACCAACTCTGAGAGCTTAGTGTTGGTTATATGTTTGGAAATGAGTAAACTGAGTTTAGCATGGTACCACATGCCTGTAATTCCAGCACTGGGGAGGCCAAAACAGAAGGCTCAGGACTTCCAGGCCAGCAGCCTAGGATATAAGACAAGACTCTGTCTGATAAAACAAAACCCAACAGCAATAACACCAAAAACAACAAGAAATGTATTTGTTGGTGGGAGGGGGTATAAATCAGAGACTAAGCAGGAAAGAGTCAGTTACTTTTCCAGCAAGGAATCATTATGATTCATTTATTTAAAACCCAAGTCTTGTGACATTAAACTTCATCTGTTCGATTTCCTGAAAGGCCCGAGAGAAGAGAAACATTTGTATTATGTTCAGCTCTGTGTATATTTGATCCAGACACAAATAATCAGACCTAAATAAAACTCACATTCCATATATGACAATGATGTTTGAGACTAAACTGTAAGGACATAAGCTTCAGATTGCATCTGCAGGAATCTAATGCAGCCTCTGCTCACTGTTCAGAACATCTATAAACAGCATTGAAGGGACTGGCCAGCTCTAGCATGGCAAACTTGGCTCTGGCAGTTCCTGCTCTTCTCCGTGATTCCTTTGCCTTACTGAAAACCATTAGATTACATTCCTGAAGCTAGCCACCAAGATCTAGTCCCTTATTTGACTACTTCCTCCTTCTGAGGCTGACTACCAAGGTCCAGCTATCAAAGTATTGAAGTCCAGCAATCAAAAACCCCTTTGGCTCACCTAACTAATGTGCCCAATTAAAATTAAACACCTCATGCTGACATAGGGTTTCCCCTTTTACCATTATAAACGCCATTTTCCTATGAGCCACATCTGTCTCCTCTCTATCCAGAGGCAGTCTTTCGTCCCTCTAGGACAGATACCCATTCTCCCTTGTTCCCACCCCCTACTCCCTCATCCTACATCTCCTGTCTTTGTCTCTTATTCCCTGTCCTTTGTCCCTCTGAGACTAAGGATACCCCTCCACCCCTCCCTTGTTCCTTTCCTCTTTTACCTCATCCTATGTCTCCTGTCTTTATCGCTTATTCCCTGCCCTCTGTCCCTCTAGGGTAAATAAATTTCCTTTTTGCTGAGAACTTGGTCTGGGGATCCTGAGCTGATACCATTCCTTTCAAGCACAAAATTAATGATTCATTATCTTGTTCCCTTTTCTCTGGTAAGATAGTCCTTTTTGTTATAACTACATTCATCAGGAATACTCTGACTATTCTAATCCTCTGCTTAAAAGGCAGAGTGTGATATACCTCATTTTAATACCATTAAATGGCACTGAACTATACCGAGAGATGAAAGCCAAGTCTTGCATGACTCAACAAAGACAATTTGAGTGAAACGAGCATGGCCTGTGATTTATCTAGACAAGACTGAGCAGTTACCAGGTGGTACAGATTCCCTTCAGCTTTTCATGTTTCTGAGATGTGGTTAGACACCCAGGACGACTCTGTTGAGAAAATCCAACAAATGAAACTTCTTTTCCAGTTACCCTATTTGTTTATATGTGTACCTGGCCTTTTAGGCTGCCATCTATCATGTCCATTTTGCCAGTGTTTTGTGTTGCAATACTTGCTCTGTCCTCAGGGGGCAGGAGTGAAGTGATTGGTGGTCAATTCTCTGGCAACAAGGGTAGCGCATGATCTGAAGAGTGGCTGTGGGGTTAGGAAATGCTTCTTTGAGATGGTATGTAAGTTGAGACAGAAGGACAAGGAGAAAGCACTGTGAGAAAAATCTTGACTTAGAGTGCTTTCCAGAGAAAGGCAATAGCAAAGGGAAGTGCTGTGCTGTAGGAATGAGGTCAGCTCAGGAAGAGAAAGGCTTGGCTTTATAGGACTGGAATTGGTGAGAGAGAAAAAAGAGAGGACCCTGTCCTGCAGAGCACTGACATGTTCTGCTTTCTATTTTCTAAAACATATCTGACTGCCAAGTGGAGAACAGGCTGTTGTGGGGCAAGTGTTGGAGGAGGGAGACAAAGCAGAAGACTATGGAAGAGTTGAGGTGAGCAGTGATAATTTGAGCAGAAGTGTGAAGACCCTGGAGTGGTCCATGATATGCTTGGAAGGCCATGCCAGTGGGACTTGCCTATAGCAAGGATGCTGAGCTTCAGCAGGCTATCGATACAAACCTGGACTTTAAAGAGGACATCAGCACTGGAAATGCTAGTGTCTGGGAGATGGCCACGTTTAGCCTAAAGTTCAGAAAAATTGCTTTGTGCTCAGTCAGCTCTAGAGATGGCTCCAATGTGTTAATTAGCCTTTCTAAGCATCTTTGTTTAAGAACATAGCTGTAATTAAGTTATGTCCCATTATGAATTTGAAACAAAAAAGAAAACAAAGATATTTTAAATTGCAACACATGAAAATGTAATGTTTCAACTATGATTTGTGGCTTTATAGAGAGGTTAAAGAAATCTCATCATAAAAAATTTTGTGCCAAGACATGCAGTGGTGGTTTGAATGGGAATGGTTCCCACAGGCTCCTGTATTTGAGCACTTGGTCCCCTATTGGTGACGATATTTGGGGAGGTCTAAGAGGTGCCACCTTGTTGGGGGAAATACGTTTCAAAGCCTCTTGCCATATCCAGTGTTTACTCTGCTTTGTGCTTGCAGTTCGAGAAGTGAACTCTCAGCTTGCTGATTCAACCACCATGCTTGCTTGCCATACTTCCGCACCATCATGGACTCTAACTGTCTGGAGCCCCAGGCCCAAATAAGCTCTTGTTCTCTAAGTAGCCTTGGTCATGGTGTTTTCTCACAGCAGCAGAAAAGTAACTGATACACATGGAGATATAAAGAATAGGTTAATAGTCTGTGCTGGAAACTTTATTTGGTTATGGTTTATCCATCATTGTTATATGTTTGATCTGAATTATCCCCCACAAGCCACTTATCAAAAGGTTTCCTCCCCAGGGTAGTGTTGTTGGAAGGTTGCTGACCCTTTGAGAGGACTGGCTTCCGAGGAAGTCCTTGGGTCATTGCCAGTGTGCCTTTGAGGGGATAGTGGGAGTTTGCCCTTTCCCTCGACTTTTTTGACTTCCTGGTGATGAGGTGACCAGGTTTACTCTGTCAGGCACTCCAGGTGAGATATGCTACTTTGCCACAGACCAAAAAGCCAGGGGCTACCTGATCGTGTAGCCTGAATAAATCTTTTCTCTTTATAGATTGATGCTCTCAGGACAGATGAAAGCTCACATTAATGTAGGAGAAGCATAAATCAGATTTCCACATTCATGGTAGATTTTTTTCATAGTGCTTGGCAGCATATTTTGCATCTTACAAACATTCAACTTAAAAGCACTAAAGCTAAGCAATGCTATATTTAGAAATGATTTTACCAATAAGTAAGAATCTTTTTTTTGTTGTTTTGTTTTGTTTTGTTTTGGTCTTAAACAGAGTCTCACAAGTAGCTCTGTCTGACCTGGGACTAACTGTATAGACTAGGGTGGCCTCAGACTCGCAGACTACCTGCCTCTGCTGGCACTCAAATGCTGGAATTAAAGGTGTGTGCTACTACACCCTGTGGGAAGAATCATAATCTGGTTATTGTGCGGGTTAATTACCTGTCGTTCATCTCTAATCGATGTCCCTCTTAGTCAGGAAGTATGAAGTTGCTAATTTGTTTACTTTTAATGCAAAAAAAAAAAAAAGCCAATATATAAAGGTGACACCAGGTCCTCCACGAATGTGTGGTAAGGTTATATGGGGGAGAAGAAGACTTTTTTACAAACAGGTTTTCTTGTTTTGGTTTCTCATCGTATTTCAAACAGTTGTTGTTTAGCCAGCAGAAAGATGTCTTCATAGAAGATTTCTTCCCTTGTATTTACACAATCATTTTCTAACTGGTTGCGTTCCTGACCCTTTGATGCCATTTCTCACTAAGCAAGCTATTTAAGGAGTTGTTGTAGTTGGCACAGAGCCATTTAAAACAACTTTAGCACTCTCATCAGCCCATCCCCACAGTGGAACGTTCTTTATCTCTCCTGAGCCGTGTGAGCCTAGTTTCATCATCCAGTGTTTTCAGGGCTCTTTCCTCCCCCTACTATCTCACACCAACTAGGAATGTGGTGCAGAATCCACCTTTGTATGTTTCGGTCTGGCTATCCCTTTGTTTCCCTTGATTACACATGATTGTTGCACTATGTTATAGTTTTATAGCTGAGTATGTGTGATAATTCTTATCTAATCAGAAACTCTTTATATTAGTTGCCTATAAGATGTGGAGTTTAATTTGAAGGATGGGGATGAAAGTATGTGTTTGAGTATGCCAAATTCTCTCTGTGACAGTTCGCTGAGAGGGGGATGTGAGCATGAAGGCTGAATGAGTGTTCCTTTCCTGAATTGACAAGCAGATCCCTAAGGATTCTTATGTGAGGTGGTCCCTAGTGTCATCAGGCCCTTTTCTGAACAACATGGCCTGGCCTTCAGCATTTATGATAGGAACTAAATCTTCTGGGCATGGCATATTGCCCTTTGGCTTTTCTCTGTCCTTCTCTCAAGCAGAACTGAAGTGGTAATCAGCTTGGTTATTCTGCAGTTTCTCATACTCCTCTGTGTTCAGGATACTCACGTGCTCTAACATGTAGGTTTTTGTTTGTAGGTCATGATTTGGAGCTTGGATTTTTTTTTTTTTTTTTTTTTTTTTTTTTGGTTTTTCGAGACAGGGTTTCTCTGTGTAGCTTTGCGCCTCTCCTGGAACTCACTTGGTAGTCCAGGCTGGCCTCGAACTCACAGAGATCCGCCTGGCTCTGCCTCCCGAGTGCTGGGATTAAAGGCGTGCGCCACCACCGCCCGGCACATGTAGGTTTTTGTAAATGTCTGCTTGCATAAGAATTAAGCTGTAAAGTAAGCAGAGCCTTTTCAAGAGTCTTAAGTTCTCAAAATTCTCTCTCTCTTTCTCCTAGCACTTGCTGCCTCTCTCTTCATGTTCAAACACCTCTGATTCTTTGACCCAAAGTCTCTTTTTCCCCATCACAACTTGCTCTTGGCAAAGGATCTGAATATATTTATATAAGGTAGTAAATGTAAATTACCTATGTCAGTCAGCTCAATATGATCATGGGAATATTGTACCCCTACATCAGAATACTACATGGTACCCCACAAATGTATGTGACTATCATTTAACAGTACAAATAATTTTTTAAAATAATTTATTTAATTTTAGTTTATGTGCATTAGTGTGAGGGTGTCAGATCTCCTGGAACCGGAGTTACAGACAGTTGTGAGCTGCCATACGGGTGCTGGGAATTGAACCTGGTTCTCTGGGATAGCAGCCAGTGCTCTTAACCACTGAGCCATATCTCCAGCCCCTACAAATAATTAAATAATAAAAATATGACTGGATCTAAAATAGTTTATCATAAGGAGAATTTGCATTTCCCAGCCACAAAAATGTGAGACTGCAATGATAAATACATCACGGGTCAGTTTCAGAAGCAACCTTGTTATTGTCAGCAGCCACTCTACAGGAAGTTGACTTCTCGTACCCGTAGAGCCCAGACACCTCAGTGAACCCCATGGGCAACTGGTATCTGACCCATGCCTGCTCATTTGCAGTAACTTCAGTTAGGGTCAGAGGCCCTAGGTCACATAAGAACAATATTGGAGTATGGAAGGACTGGAGAAACTGGGCAGAATGTTCAGGACATAGTAAATGAGCTTTCAAATAGTTCACCAGAGATAGCTAGGAGCCTGCAATCCTTCTGGTCTCATTTTATATGAATAGATTAGGAGGATAAGGTCAAGGTCTACATGAAGGACTCTGTCTTAGTTAGGTTTCCTGTTGCTGTCTAGAGGCACCATGATGAAGAAACTATGGCAACTCTTATAAAGGAAAACATTTCATTGGGTTAGCTTACAGTTTCAGAGGTTTAGTCCATTATCATCATGGTGGGACGTGGTGGTGTGCAGGTGGACATGGTGCTGGAGACGGAGCAGAGAGTTCTACATCTTGATCTCCAAGCAACAGGAAGTGAACTGTCTCACTGGTTGTAGCTTGAGCATAGGAAACCTCAAAGCCTATCCCCACAGTGACACCTTTCTCCAACAAGGCCATACCTACTCTAATACCTTCTAATAGTGCCACTACCTATGGGCTCATGGGGGCCAATTACATTCAAATTACCACAGAATCCTTATGCACTTGAGGCCCCAACACCAGTCAGTTATATCAACATTTCATTTGCATTTACGTTTTTTGTCATTCTTATGCAAATGTTTGAACTATGTTGTGTGCTTTCTTTTCAGCTCCATGTTGTCCACTGGAATTCAGACAAATACCCCAGCTTTGTAGAGGCAGCTCATGAGTCGGATGGGCTGGCTGTCCTGGGAGTATTTCTGCAGGTGAGACTCCACTGTTTAATTTTAAATAGTCAGCCATTCAATTAGTTTTAAATAGCAAACTAGTTCTAAATTTAGTATTTTCCTTTTTAAGTGAACAGTAAAAAGTTCCATAATAGCTTGGAAACGTATCTAATTATATTTCACACTGCCAGTTGAAGATTCATATGGAAGTAGCAACTGATACATCCGTAAGAATAACAGCAGAAGTCACAGCTGAAATCTAAGAAGAAATCTAGGCTTTTCTGGTTTTCTGATTTCAATATTTAGAGACCTAGAACAGCAGAAAATTTAAGCTCATGCTTCTTGAGGCCTTTGTTTGACAACATTGGCAAATCATCTCAAACATACTGATCAATTGTTTTGAAAAAAAAAATCCCAAGCTTCTCCTTTTCTGGTATTTGCATATGAATAGGCAAGTCCTGCCATTACACCTGGGGACACTTTCCTTAGGGCGTGCTCTTTTTCCATGCCTCATTATCTACATGATGTTGTAACTTGTGGAGCTTGGGGTGGGGTTGAGGGGCAGATATTGGGAGTGATGTGGGAAGCAGCCAGGGCTTTTCTATGAACTCTAGGTGGTAGCAACAGGATCTAGGTATAGCTAGAGAAGGCACTCGAATCTTATAGGGTTTTAAACCTTTAGGTAAATTGAAAACACTCTCATTAGTGAAAGGAATACATTTTATACATTTGTATTCAGGATGCATATGCTCTTCAGGGTAGAGCCCCTTGATCTGGGACTTCAAGTAACTTTAGGCTGCAAGTAGGAGATCTAAGATTTTATTTAAGATTGGTTGCAGCCCGAACTGGATCCAAATGTCATAGCTGGCTTAACCATCAGCCACTTTCCCACGCAAGGTTTCTCTCAAGTTAACCTGTGGCTCAGCAGTTACGAGTGCTTGCTACTCTTCCAGGGGACCAGAGTTCAGACCCTAGTCAGATTGCTCACAAGGGCCTATAACTCGAGCTCCAGAGAATCTGACACCCTCTTCTAGACTCCTTGGGCATCCACATATACATGACTGATACCCATACACACACACTCAAGAATAAATAAATTAAATAAAATAAAAATAAAAACAAATCTTTTGTAAACCATCTGAAGCATGTGAAGCTAGTACTCCCTGCTTTGGAACCAGACTGTAGGTTCAGTCTAGAATCCCTGTAATATCTTGTTCAGATTCTTCTGGCATAATCAACTTGCCAGGTGGAAGAGAACTTTTGTTCTAGAACAGTCACTGTAGACTTGAGCTGACTCTGGCTTTTAGAAAATAATTAAAACTTAAGGACTGAAATGGAATGCTTGTGCTGATTTGCTGTTATAACTATTTCTGTTTTGAAATTTTACATTTTTAGATTGGGGAACACAATCCCCAACTGCAAAAGATCACTGACATTTTGGATTCCATTAAGGAAAAGGTAAAATTAATTACTATGTGTTAATGACTAACAGCTTCTTCCTCTCCTGAATTCTTTCACTATCTTTTGAAATCGTACACATTAGACATAGCATATCCTGCTTTCTTTGAAGCAAGTTTCAAGTTACCAGACCAAAACTGCAGAAAAAACTTACTGTCTCTTACCTTTTTAAACTTGTAAAGAGCGTGACATTATCTAAAATAATCACCAATAAATCTATGCAGATTTAAGTTCTTAATACTCTAATTTTATACACAAAGATTATACCTTATTTAAAAGACTGCTTATGTAAAATAAATTTTTTCTTGACCCTGGACCTCTTTACATATTTCATACTAGCCTGTTATTTCTTTTTTTTTTTTTTTTTTTTTTTTGGTTTTTCGAGACAGGGTTTCTCTGTGTAGCTTTGCACCTTTCCTGGATCTTGCTTTGTAGACCAGGCTGGCCTCGAACTCATAGAGATCCACCTGGCTCTGCCTCCCGAGTGCTGGGATTAAAGGCGTGCGCCACCACCGCCCGGCATAGCCTGTTATTTCTCTTAGAGCCCAGACTGAACTTGAAGAATTCATGATCCTCCTGCCTCTGCCTCCTGACTGCTAGGATATAGGTATGTGCCTGACTCTCGTATCCTTCTTAAATAAATCCATTGCTACTTTATCTGATCTTTTTTGGATTGAGGCAGAAATTTATTTTACTAAAATATTAATGGATTACAGTATGTAATTACACAGAATTTGAATGTGTGTGTGTGTGTGTGTGTGTGTGTGTGTGTGTGTGTGTGTGTGTGTGTGTGATTTGTAATCTGTATCAATTATCTTTACTTTTCCAGGGGAAACAAACCCGATTCACAAACTTTGACCCATTGTCTCTGCTTCCACCCTCCTGGGACTATTGGACGTATCCTGGTTCTCTGACAGTTCCACCTCTCCTTGAAAGTGTCACATGGATTGTTTTAAAACAACCTATAAATATCAGCTCTCAACAGGTATGATAATTCTTCTTCCAAGCTGATTGTGATGTTTTCAGAGGAAACCCCTAAATCATTTTTTAATGCTGTTTTTATTTCTGCCGTAGTTTGGAGTCTGACGTTTTCTTTCATTAATTAGGTGAATGGTTAGATAAAATTTGTATTCCTCCTCCCTCCCTCCCTCCTCTCTCTCTCTCTCTCTCTCTCTCTCTCTCTCTCTCTCTCTCTCTCTCTCTCTCTCCCTCCACCACATCTTTCTATGTAGCCTAGCTTAGCCTTGAAATCAAGACCTTTTTGCTTCAGCTCCCAGGTGCTAGGATTACAGGCATGTGTCACCATTTGAAGTACATGGTTTTGGTAATGTTCTTAATTGACCATTTGTATAAGTCCATATTTTAATCACTGCTCGGTAATGCTATGTTCTTAAACTTTAATCAGTTCTTAACCTGTGGGTTGTGACCCCCACAGGGGTCACATACCAGATATTCTGCATATCAGATATTTACATTACAATTTATGAATAGGAACAGAATTACAGTTATGAAGTAACAACAAAAATAATTTTATGGTTGGGGGTCACCACAACATGAGGAGCTGTATTAAAGGGTCAAAGCCTTAGGAAGGTTGAGAAACACTGCCTTTAAGTCTCTTTGAGGGTGAAGCATCATTTTGAAGCCCTGATTGTTTTTGTTATTTTTGTTTTTGTTTGTTTGTTTCTCTGTTTGTTTGTTTGTTTCAGTTGACATAGAAACAGTGTCGTAGAGAGAGGACAGTTGGTAGAGAGGTGCCTCAAGAAAGGCAACCCTTTTCTCTCTCCCCAGTCCCTAGATTGCTGCTCCCACAGATTCAGAAGTGAACATTGAGATCAGTGTCAGGCATGGCACCCTGAGAAACGTGAATACCTTTTATCTTCCAGAAGAGAAAATGCTGTATACTTACCCCTTCAAGGGGGTAGCTCTTCTGTCAAGTGTTTCTACTGCAATAACGACAGTTGAATCTTGGCTTTTGTTGACAGAACTTTTTTGGAGCTGCCTGAGGGAACATTGCTAAGAGGCTGCTCCCATCTGTGCCTTCCTTGGTAAAGCATTTACTCAGGCATTTTTCTTTGTAAGTTTTTATTTATCTTTCAGAGTGATAGGGGATCAAATAAAGGGCCTTATTCATGCTGCACCCCCGCCCTCGTTTTTTCTGTGAAATGCTTATTCAGCCCTCAGAGTAGGCCACAAGGTCTAAAGTCTCAGGATGTCCCAAGTCCTTAGAAATATGTTCCTGAATATTACGTTTCTTAGTAGATTTTTGTCTCACATATGTTGAGCTTTTTAAAATTAGGTACTGCAATCTTCACAGCAACAGGTCTAGTTATTGATTGATTGATTGATTGATTGATTGATTGATTGTAGTGAGTTAATATGCCTTCCTGCTCTAGGCCTGTGTATCTGCCTGATTATGTATTCTCCACCTCACCTCCATCACATTAAGTCTGGTTTGGCTTTCCAAGGTCATCTCAGGGCAAGTTTTCCCTTGGGGTGAACACTAGGATTGTATTGAGTATTTCCCCTTATTGTCTTTGTATTTAGGATTAAAGACAAATAACAACTTAGTGCATAGTTATTAAAATACTTCATGAAAGTTTGGAGAAAACCCAGGATTCCTGGGACTGGAGAGATGGCTAAGCAATTAAGAGTACTGGCTGCAGCACCCACATAGCAGCTCACAGGGGTCTGTAACTCCAGTCCCAGGGAATCCAATACCCTCCTCTGGCCTTCATGGGGTCAGGCATGCGAGTGATGCAAAGACATAGATGCAGACAAAGCACTCATATGCATTGTGTGGATGAGTAAATAGACTGGATTAAAAATCCAGGAGCCCTATGAATTTTGTCCATCATCTAATGAGAAAATAAAAATGACCTGCTTCTGATTCAGTGGTCTTATAAATGGGCTTAATATTCTTTCTTTCACTGCTAAATTGCTTACTTTTACTCATTTACTAAACTTCAGAGACTTAAGTATTATAACTTCAAAATGGCTAATGGCAAGTGGATAATGTTTTCCTACATATTTCAAGACATCTTTATTCTTTAAAGACACTTGGGAAATAACTTTGTGTTATTGTTTTTTTCTCCAATCCATGAGTGATTTTGACAAGAACATTATAAAAATATATAATTTAATTCTTTACTGAGAATAAAATGAACCTTACTAAAAGCAATTCCCTACAAAGTTAGGTATTATAATTGTCTCTACTGTGGATTCACTGCTGTGTTATATTTGAGGCTCATTGAACTAAAATTGTTAATGTGACTTTTCATGTATGAGAGTATGTGAAAGAATAGCTTAATTTTAGAACTCCCGTGGATTCACAATTTCCTTTGAAACATTAACTTAAATTGACTGCAGCTGGGACACTATTAGATATTTCAATCTTAACCAGACAGAGGGAGACATTTAATGACCGTTCAAATTACTATTAAGAATAAAGGAATGAAGAAAAAGATATTTTAAAAATACAGTTTCAACTTAATCACGAGGAAAGAAAATTCTAAGACAAAGCGCTGCTAGGGGCCATAACATAAAATACTTAATTAGGACTCCTTCCAAAATGTCAGTGTTTTCGAAAGCAAAAGGAGATTGAGAAACTAACAAGAAATGTCAAAGGAGTGCCTAGGGATTTGGCTCTGTGGTAGAGCTCTTGTCTAGTGTCCTGCAAGACCTTGGGTTCAATCCCCAGTGCTGAAAAAACAGAAGAAAGTAAATAAAAGTCATTATTAGGCAAAAACCAAAGGCAGTCTGAGTAGAGTAGAGACTAATTAATGATGCCAGGCTTCTGTTGGACCAACAGTTACAGAAAGTGGACCATAGAATGTGAGACATAATTAATAGGGAAGCTGAGTCTGGGGTATGTGGGAAATATTGTAGTCTCTCTGTAGTAGTTCTGCAAATCTGAATTTTTCCTAAAATATAAAGCTTATAAAAACGCAAAAACATGGAAGAATTGTTCAGTTGCTCAGTGTTTTTATAAATAGACAAAATGTCTTATATCATTGATTTAAAGACTTACTCAGCAAGCATAATTTTTTAAAACATTTAATTCTCTAAAAATTTTTATTTATTTTTACTATCCTGTATGTGAGAGAGATTGTGAGTATGTGTGTGTGTGGTGGGGGGCAGGGGGGTCTCTGTGTGTGTGATGTGTGTGTGTGTGTGGATGCAGGTGTATGTATGCTGCAGTGTGCATGTAGATGTAAAAGGTCAACTCTGTGGAGTTGGTTCTCTCCTTCTCCCTGTTTGTGAGTTCTAGGACTTGATCTTACAGCATTGCACTTGTGTACCAAGTGCCTTTACCTTCTGAGCCGTAGTCCCAGCCCCCAAATAGTTTTTAATCTCAATGTCGGAATCTCTTTCTTTTGAAGATCACAGAGAAATATTGTCTGTATTCATTTCTCAACTCCACCATTTAATGCTACCAGCTTTGAAGTATACACCCTAATTAGTCGTCATATTCCTGCCCCCTAGGGTTTTCTATTACAATTTCTTGTGAAAGTATTATTTGACCTAAAGAAAAATTTAATTTAATTTAAATTTAATTTTCTTAAAGCTCTTAAATTTTCTTATTTTTAATTTAGAATAATTTTTCTTGCTTAGAGTCACTTTATTGACTTTTAACTTCTTGGTTTAACTGTATGCAGTAATAGACTGCTTTTGGTACTTTAAATAAAAAAATCTCTCATTTCTTTGGAAGCTGGCTTTTTCTTCCAGGTCCCTTTGGAGTAGCCTAACTGATTAGGGTACTCAATTGCTAAAACTCAATGCAAAACATACTTGGCTTTGATCCTATTCTAAAAAAAAAAAGTTATTAAGACATCATTTGTATATTATAAAAGTCACAAATTTAAATGTCTGCTTACTGATTTGGGTGATTATACTACAGCCACCACAATGAAGGCAGGGTAGATCTTTTGGCTAAAGATCTTCTTGTCATAGTCTCAGCAATAACTGTAATGCTATCACTAGAGTTTGTCATTTTCTAGAATTTTTGTTTAACTGAATCAAACAGTAATAACTTTTGTTTTGATTTTTTTAAATGCTGTGACAGAGGAGACCCCAAAGCCTTACAAATGTTAGGCCAGAATTCTACCACTGACCTACATTCTCACCCCCCACCTCTTTTTTTCTTTCTTTAATTTTTGAGATTATAATATAATTACACTTCTCCCTTTCCTTTCTTCCCTTCAGGCCCTTTCATATACACCTCCTTGCTCTCTTTCAAAGTCATGACCTCTTTTTGCATTGGCATTGCATGCATATATATATATATATATATATATATATATATATATGTATTTACATATATGCTCTTAAATATAACCTGATCAGTCTGTAAATACTATTTGTATGTATACTTTTTATTTTGAGATAAAGTCACTGAGTTGCCAAGGCTGACCTTGGACTCACTCTATAGCTTATCTAGGCCTTGAGCTTATGAACACCCTACCTCACCTTCCAAAATAACTACAGTTACAGGCTTGTACCACAGGGCCTGGCAGGTAGATAAATTTTTGTGTTTGGCTTTTAGCATAATAATTTTAGGCTGTATCCATTTCACTCATTTTTATTACTGGCATAAAGTCAATTGTAACATAGATATACCACATTAAAAATTCTATTCAGCAATTTGGACATTAAGATTGGGGTTGTTATGAACACTTTGTTTCACATTTGTATATGGGAGTAATTGACATTCACACTTGGATAGACACATTTTCATATGTCTTGAACCAGTGCCCATGACTGTAATTACTAAGTCGCAAGTGCTTAATTTTATAATATGCCAACACATTGTTTTCTGAAGTGACAGTACCTCTTTGCCTTCTTCCCACCAGTGTTTTATGAGATTTCTTGTAGCTCCATCTCCCTGCCAGCATTGATACTGTCAGTTTTGCTAACTTAACTATCTGATAGCTGTGTGTGATTTTAGTTTGCCTGTATTAGATAACTAGGGACGCTGAACATTTTTTCATAGATACACTAACTGTGCATGTATCCTCTTTTGTGAAATATCTGTGTAAATCACTTGCCATTTTCTGTGTGTGTGTGTGTGGGGGGGTGTGGTGCATGTGTCCTTACAAGTATGTATGTTTGTGTATGAGTGTTGAGAGTGAGTATATATGGAGGTCAGACGTCACACCTAAGTATTGTTGCTTAGATGTTATCCCTCATAAATGTTTTCTATTGGTCTGTATTCACATTCATTTCCTATCATGTCAGCCTTTCTGTAAAATTCTATATTGGGATAATTTTAGTTTTGAAGTCATAAGTTTAGATCTAAAATTTCTCTTTGGTTCTCTTTTAATTGTTTGAGAGTCTCCTTTTCTTTCCAGATTTCTCATGTCCAAAAAAAAAAAAGTGCTCTGTTTAACTTCCTGTATCCTGGAGTAGTTACAAATGCTACTTCAACATCCTTTTAAGTTACAATGTTTAATTATTCTTTCATTGGGAATGTGCTATATTCTCCTGACTCAGCTGTCATGCAACCTTTTTACTTCATTGTATGACATGTTAAGTTGTGGAAACCCTGTGTTCTGTTACTTTTCTCTGGTGAGTGTTTTTTTTTCTTTAAGTTTAGCAATAATTATTTGAAGTGGGACAGAAGTTCATATTGCTTCCTGTGCCACAGCCTTGGTCCTACTGCGGTGCATTGGCTTGGAATCTGCCCTACATAGCTGTGATTAGTAGGTCAGTCAGAGATAAGGGCAGAGTTTGAGGTTCCTCTCTTTGGTCATTTTCCTGCACAAAAAGTGCCCCACTGCATCTGTGTGCACCTTGCAGTCTGTATTTAGCTGCAGCTGGAGAAACACTCTAATCTTCTCTTCTCCAAGCAAGCGTGCCTTCTCCACCTGTGGTCCTCCACTGTCAGCCTCTTCCTAGTGCTGTTGTCCATGCTGTGTCTGAGTGTCTGCCTTCAGGATCTTAGAAAAATCTGCCTAGAAACAAACCCAAACCATTCCATTTTTAACAGGAAAATTTTGTATTTTGTGATCATATGTAAAATTCTGTGTCTTTCAAATTAAAATACTAAGTTATGGAATATTGTTTACCAAATACTAGGGTTTTTTTTTTTTTTTGCAAGTTATGGTTCAGGGAATAAAATAATGTATAAAAAGAGGTCCTCATCCTTGACAGTTTGTAACCTAACAGGATAAAATAAATGTGCAGAACTATTACACAGTGGGCTGTGACTGCCACCCTGAGGGAGACAGGATGGTGGAAACCCGAATCAGAGGCTTTCTCAGTGTAGACATCAAGAGACATATCGTGAGTAATAGGCATTGGGATGCTTAAAAGCTTAAATGTATCAAATGGTTGTGGGGGGGATAAAGGAAAGAAGGGCATTTCTGGAAGGAGGAGTGAATGAACCTATGGAGGCAGCTTTGTACTGTAGACATCAATGGTGAGTGTGTTAAGCAATCCCCTTGGAGAAACTGATGAAATGTGCACCCTCAGACCTTATTAGAAATTCTTGTTCAGAGGTCCAGGGTAAGATCCGCAGGTCTGAATTTTTTGGAATCAACCTAGTCTTGTCAGTTAGGTGTTCTGAGACCACCTTTACAAAAGTGACTTTGCATCGTACCTGCAGATGTAGATCTAGAAAGATTCAGAAAAGTTAGAGGGATGGTGGTAGTCTAAGGCTCAGAAATGATGCTGAAAAGTTCACACTGTGTGCCTATTAAAGTGTTTAAAGTGCCACTTCTTATAGAGATACTTTCTGAAATGTTTACCAAATGTCCAGAATTTGCCTCAAAGTCATCTGAATTGAGCAAAGAGAGACTGGGTAGGAGTGTGGATTGAGAACCAACATACGTTGATGGTTGAAGCGTTCCTGCTGCTTTATTAATGTTTCCATAATAAAAGCTAAGTGAAAGCAGATTAAAGTAAAACGCTTTTTTTTAAAGGAAATTTTAATGCAATTACTTCTGTGGTAGGTCATGATTTAGTTGACAGATAACTTATTTATTGAAACATCCCAGCTGCCTCTTGAGATTGCCATTACTATGATGGGGTAACAGTACATTGTTTGCCCCCAAATAACTTATTAAATAAAATAATGTAGTGTAAAGCACATAGCAAAGTGTCTGGATCTCTATGTTCCAGGAAGGAGCTTATTTTCATTATTACTCAACTTTGGCAGGCAGCAGAGAGTTCTTAAAGATCTGGTTGAGCACAACTGTGACATAAAATTACATAGAGGAGTTTGCAAAAAAAAAAATCTTGCTGAGGTTGCTACTTAAGAAAATGAAGATCTTAGCAGTGGAGCCCAGGAAACCAGCAAACAGGTTACACCTACCCCAGCCTCCAGGCTACCTTGGGATGTATCTGCCAAGAATGGGTGGGTGCTGAGTCAGCCGTGGTGAAAGAAGGGAAGGTTTCCACCTGAATGGGCATGTGCCTACGTGAGGGGCTAAGATATCTGAGCCAGCCAGGTAGGCTATGCAGCCAAAAGAAACCAGCCTCACAGGACTTGCCAGGTCCTATGTAGCTGGGCCAGGTGATGGAGAGAGTACTGAGATGGGCTGAGGACTCTAAGCAAATGAGCAAGCTGACAGAAGGAAGTGCTACAGTAAGATGCAGTTCTACACTGGTGAGGTGAAAGGGATGCAGAGATAGGGGTCCATCGAGAGCTTCCAGAGGAACTCGATAGTGTGTGTGTGTGTGCATGTGCGTGCATGTGTGTGTTTGTGTGCGCGCGCGTGTGCGTGTGTGTGCGCGTGCATGTGTGTGTGCGTGTGCGTGCGTGTGTGCGTGCATGTGTGTGTGCGTGTGCGTGCGTGTGTGCGTGTGTGTGTGCGCGCGTGCATGTGTGCGTGCGTGTGTGTGTGCGTGTGCGTGCGTGCGTGTGTGTGTGTGTGTGTGTGTGTGTGTGTGTGTGTAAACCCAAAGCAGGTCTTCTGAGCAATCAGTAATGTCACTACAGAGGTGTGTTGTCCTGGAAGGCTCATAGATTGAACTGCATTTCCAGCACCATCATCTTGACTTGAGTTGTGACCAGGGTTAGATTAGCCTCTGTCACTGAATTTCATCAGTGATTCTTTCTCGTAAGTCTTATTTGTTTCAACTAGAACGATCTACTCTAATACAAACGACTATTTATAAGTGGTAATCATTTGTCTCCTCATTCCCAAGTCTGGGCTCCTTAAAAAGACATGACGAAATATGATTTGTGAAGACACAGATCTGCTTATAAGTGGATGATTCTGCATCCATAGACCATGGTCATAAACTACTGTGTTGATGGTGAGAGTCTCTTTCTCCTCTGCCTATGGTGATATTTTATTTGTATTGAAATGTGATTTTATTTGTATGTTAATAAATAAAGTTGCCTGGGGGTCAGAGCTAATAGCAAGCCATAGCAGAAGCCAGGCAGTGGTAGCACACACCTTTTATCCCAATCACATGACAGGCAGATCTCTGTGTGTTCAAGGACACAGCCAGCATGGAGACACACGCCCTTAATCTCAATACCAACCATAGAGACCTAGAGGTCTGTATAGACAGGCAGTGATGAGGCGGTCATGTGGTTGGGTTTACAACCAATAAGAAGGCAGAACAGAAAGTCAATAAAAAGACAGACACACAGAAAGTAGGCCTCTTTCTCAGGGGAAGGACGGCAGTGAAGGGTAAGAAGGCGGTTTTAAGTCTCAGCTCTTAGCTACTGCTTTGACCTTTTGAGCTTTTAACTCTGCATTTGGCCCTGTGTTTCTTATTTAATAAGACCATTACATCTACATCTGCCTCCCTCCTAGTTGATACTGCACAAGAAATGAAGAGGATGAAAGCCTAACTGATGTGGTTCTGAGGTCAAGGGGCTAAAACTGCACAGAGACTAGAGGCTCTCAGTCTAACAATTTACTAATTTGTCTTCATCAAAACATAGCAAAAATCCAAACAAAGAGCAAACCTAGTTCTAATAAGCAATTTCCTTCTGTAAAGCATGAGGTTAGGAGTACCCAGGTAACTTATCCAGTCTTTATTTTTATCACTGTAGACTTTTGCTAAATCTTAGTAAACAATATTAAGCTTCCACAGATTATTGGAGTTTCATAAATCACATTTATAACAAACAATGTATGTACAGAGCTCTGGAGAAATTACAAGTAGTGTATAAAGTTATGTGTATTGATATGCAAAAATGCTTATAGCATGTATTATGTGGAAAAACCAGATTTCAAACATCGAATGTTTGAGCACATTTTTGTAATAAAATATGTCAGATGTGTATTGTAGAGTAGAGAGGGGACATATGGAAAACTGTTCTGTGAATACCGGTGTGCACTATTTAGAGCACATTCTACTTTTACAACTTTGATCCTCAAGTGAAGGATGTTTATATTCTTAATTTTGGAGCCACATTGTTTACATAGCAAAGAGAACCTAGCAGAACAAGTCTTTATGATCTGTGACCTGTAACTTAGAAATTTCACATTGCAATACTTTTAGATTCTGGCAGAGGAAAGATTATAACTCTTGTTATCTTTTTTACACAGCTCATAAGATCAGTCTTTCTGTGGTGAAATTAATTTTGTTCTGATTTTCAACAGCTGGCCAGATTCCGTAGCCTCTTGTGTACAGCTGAGGGCGAGACGGCAGCTTTTCTGTTAAGCAATCATCGTCCACCACAGCCCTTGAAGGGCCGCAGAGTGAGAGCATCTTTCTATTAACAGCCACCAGCCGGTCAGCCCAAGCAGGAGCAGGAAGGCGTCAAATGAAACAGAACTCAGACAGTCCTACTCGCAGCTTTTCTAGACTTTCAGGTTTATGAATCCCACTTTCCCAGCAGCTTTGGCACCACAGAGAAAACCAGAGATCTGGACTAACTAACTCAGCTCATCATTCCTCTATTTGCACCAACACGTGTCCAATTGGTAAACATTGTTGGGTGTATATTAGTACCACAAAGTACACCTGCCTCACACTTCATGACCATATATGGTCAGCCTTACAAACCTCACACCGTACTAAAAGATTGTTGTGACCTTTGGCTGATCTTACCACATTTTAAATAGTGTTTGCTAGAAACTTTAAATTCACTTTGAAAATGGTGTAATTCCTAAACAAGAAGTTCTTATAGTTTTTGTATTTTTCTTATTAATCAAGAATATGTATTTCCTTTAGTGTACTTTTTTCTCAAACTCTCATTGTGAGTACTGTGATGGAGTGTACTACATGAGACACACAGGGATTAAGACAGAATACTGTGTCTACTTCTCTGACCAAAGTAACCTAGAGTTTCAGTGAGGAATTCTTCAGGATATAAACAGCTATTTAAGGCATTATTTCATGTCATATATTCACCTAATAATGTTAATGACCACCAGGGTGATCACTGGCATATTGTGTAGCAGTGTTGGCCGGCTCGTGGCATTAATGCAGTTCAGACTGTCAGGTTACACGATACCACTGCAGCAGAACTGCCCTGAGCTGGTGAACAGGTTCCTACGTTTGCCCTGTGTTTTAGCAGAGCTATCCTACGTGTGTTGTTTTTTCTGTCACTAGTGAAAAAATGAACCGAGTCTCACATAAATGTGTAAGTCATCCAATATATTTTCCTGTCAAATCTCATTACTCAATTGTACTAAGTCTCTTACATGATTTAATAAGATGCCATTTGGTACTAATTTTATCCTGTTCTGTCTGGAGAGGTTTTTGTTTGCATTTGATGGAGGAAGATGGGTGCCATATTCCTTTTGTTTTTCCATTATGGAGTGACCCTGTCATTAACTCAATAACTGTGCTTGACTTGAATATTTGTTATACTTTTGCTATTTTCTGAGAAAGTGTCCTTGGGTTTCTTAATTTCAATGATTTGTTTCAGATCTCTCTCATCTTCTAAATGTAAAGCGAATTATTAAAAATCTTCTTTGTATTTTTCTTGGTGGAATAATTTCATTTTGGGAAAATTGTATGGTTAAATCTACTGTCACATAAAACAAGAGCCTGAATATTAGAATGGACACTTCAGCCATTGTTTTGCCTTCTCAGTGTCCAACTTAAGGCCTTGAGGAAGATCCATATACCATAAATATTTAATGAGTTGGATAGGTAAGGATTTATTTGATAATTTTGGTAACCGTCATTCTCTCTGAGATCAATGCAGTCAAATTAATTTAACAATTAAAATAGAATGTCTCTTGAAAGTTTTTTCAGAGATAGTATTTATTAATCCACTTTTTATGACCAGAGGTTCTAATGGTTTTAAATGTATCAGTGTTAGGTGGGAAGGCATTTCTTTAGTTTGGAAACACATGCAGGGAAGCATTCTAGTCAGAGAGGGGTCTGTTCTGTCAAAGTTTGGAATGTGTGAAGGTGGAGACGCTAATGACATCCAAGTGTTACACAGTTGGTAACTCGCGTTTTCCCTGCAGCGTGGTGTCTGTGCTGTGCTGTACATCTCACCACAGTGGGATAAAACTATCCAACTAGCACTGGTTTTCCTGGAGATCATCTGCTTATGCATATCTCTCGGAGGGAGATGGTCAGTCGGTGCTTTAAATTTGTCATAGTAGTCTCTTTCAATAAAACTGTAAGTTACTTGTGTGGATCTCTTACTTCCCACATCATCTATTGATTTCTGCTTATTAAGCATTTTGTATTATAATTTAATTTGGTTCAACTTTAATAAAGAAAATGAGAAAAATACTTGTCAGTAGCAAGGCTTTGTAATGCAATGAATGGAATTAGATTATGTATTTTAAACTGAAAGGAAATAATCTCAAATTTAAAAAGGTATTTCAGATATAATGCATGAATTATTTTAAAGTAATATGCCATCCCAACTCCTTACAGTTTGAGTGCATGCGCACCGTTAACCTCATGCTTTGCAACATGAGGGAAGAGCACAAAATTCTTGGTTCTGTTCAATGGAAAATACTTTTCATTGTAATGAATTAAATGGATATTTCTCTGGAATGGCTGGAAACTCACCTTTGACCCCTGAAGAGGAATTACACCACAATGAATCCTCCACTCCTGTCATGGGTTGAGAGAAGTCTTCCTGACAGAGCCTCATAGTTCCTTGCTTTACTCCCATTAGAGCAAATCATCCAGTGGGAGTATGTGGGTTCATTAAACATTCCTGCCAAGGAGTTTGTTTTTCGTACAAGTTATTCTGGGTGGAGGCTGAAGTTGGTTTTTCTTAGCTGTGCTCACAGCAGGAGAGTCAAAGAAAGTATTGGGAGTGTACATCTTCCTGAATTCAGAAGGACTCACCCCTAAGTTTCTGATGGAAGATGTGACTTATAAAAAAAAAAATCTCAATGAAGGTTTGTATTTTGATGAGGACCTCTGGAAATAACTACCTTTATGCGTGCAATTCTAATCATATGTGGTTGACTGGTGATGGAAGGAAATGGAGAGATAGGGAGCATCTTGGGGCCTCAGCTACATATACATAATACCTTAACAAATGACACGATGACAGTTTCCCCACAGGAAGGCACAAATTACTCAATATTTCAAACAGATTGTGAAAATGCTTATAATTAATGCCAAAAGCAATGGAAAGGGCAAAAACAAAAACAAAAACGAATAAACAAACAAGACAGAATAGGAGACAACCAAGAGATTACTAAGATCAGTAAAGCCTCCACATTCCTTACCGGGAATCAGTGTTCCTCATAGTTGTCTAGGAGCCACGGCCACATACCTGAAGTTAAGTAGGCTTGAAGACCATCATCATCATCATCATCATCATCATCATCATCATCACCACAACCTTCATCATTATTTATTGAGAGGTCTAGTTACCCTCTGGAACCCTGCTTGAGGCAGAGAAATATGGAGAGTACTCTAGGTTTTCTCAGTGGTGGCATTCATTGGGGTGGTCCTCCTTTATGTGGGTCACTATGAGGATAGACTGGAAATCTCCAGAGGTGGAAGACTTGTCATACATCTATTGCCCGCTGGAAATTCAACAATGACTTTACTGGGTAGCTTATGTACTAATTACTGTGCTAGGTATAAAGATGACTGAGAGGTGATTCCTGCTCTTAGGCAGCTCAAATCTTTCAAGCTATAAAAACAGACTTGATCAATATAAGATACTAAATTTCTTAATTTGGTGTACTTATGGAGTACCATAACAACATGGAGAGGATAGATCTACTATTGGAGAAGTTAACACAGTCAGGAAGGATTTCAGTTGTGATGCACTTTGAATCAGTCCTTTTCCTCTCTAGAGTGTCTTCAAACTGGTACATAGTGGTATGGACAAATATCAGGGTCTTTTTGAGAATGGTGGGAATTTCAAAGTAGCTGAGGCAAATAGTGATATTTACTGACTTACATAATTAAAAGAAAAAAATCTAGAAGTTGGGGCTGGAGAGATGGCTCAGTGTTTAAGAGCACTTGTTGCTCTTGCAGAGGACCTGGATTCAGTTCCCAGCAACTTTGTGGTGGCTCACAAACATCTGTAGTTCAAGTTCCAGGAGAGCTGAAGCTTTCTTCTGAACTCTGGGGCACAAGGCACACACATAGTACACAGATACATGTAAACAAAATATTCATAAACTTAAAATAAAAATAAATATATTTTAAAAATGAAAAATTTCTAGACATTAATCTGGCTTCTGTAATGGCAAAGCAAAGACCAAGATCAAGCGTCAGTCGAACTACACCCTTGCGAGTTCTGTTAACAATCAGTGTACACTTTTCCCCCCTCTGTGAGCCAAACTAGTGCCAACAGACATGTGCTACGTCCACAAATATTAAGACATATCTGTCCTGAATTTTCCTTGGCCAAGAACAAATCTCCTTCCCAATGCTTAACCAAGTTACCATAGCCAAGGGAAGACAGCTCAAGGGAGGAAGTGTCTCTATTTAATATTGTCCTACTCTTTCTTATATGCCTTTGAACTTACTCAGCAAACAGCATGGATTGCTAGCCACAGTAGTCTGTGGATATGTCACTCAAAAAGCACCAGTGTAATCCTAGCAGAGTCAGAGAACCATTTCATGTTTGAAGACAGCCTGGCCTACATGAGGCGTTCTCAGGGAGGATGTGGGTGGCAGGAGAGGAAGAAGAAGAAGAGAAAGGAGAAGGAGCAGGAGGAGATGGGATGAGAGGGAGCGGAGGATGTAAGGAAGAACGGGAGGGAGGGAAGGAGGGAAGGAAGGAAAAAAGTATTTGTTGAATACTGAATGAACACATGGATGAAAATAAATGGTCAGATTAGGTGCAAGACTAGCACAGTTTGCAATGTATTGTATTTCCCCCAATGAAATAGCAGGTGCTCAAGACTGTTCCACTGAAAACACAAGCAATTTGCTTGCCAAAGAAATGCTGCCTTGGTGATTAGGAAATCACTCCAAAATAAACTGGAGGGAAGCTTTGCTACATACAGCCAAGGCCACCAGTCTTGGAGTCAAACCTACTGCCACCCTCTGGACAATGAGGAAAGTGCCACAGGCCAGCAGTTCTGAGTGGTTTGCTGACCTCTGGGAGAATCCAGGACACTTTCAGGGGATCAGTGAGGTCAACATTACTTTATAAGAGTGACAAAATATGGTTTGGGGTTTCATTGTTTGATATGTGTGCTTCTGATTAAAGAAATGTTGGCTAAGAATGCTGATTTCTCAGTACAAATCAAGACAGTAGCAACAAACACTTTTGTGTATTATTTCTTCACCAGTATAAAGCCAGTCTCAAAACACAAAATATTCCTTTTTTATGTTATATTTATTATTTTTATGACCGAATGAAATCATATTTACATTATTTTAAATGAATACCTCTAGAGATTTTCAGAAAATAAAATACAAATGGGAAATGTAAACATTTGATTGCTTTTTCTAATTTATTCTAACTCTGTATTTGTTAAGAATACAAAGACCTAAACCATGAAATGTTATTAAAATGAGAACATTATGAGAAATAATAACAGTAAAATGTTATTAAAATGCTCATGCATTCCAAGGTTCCATAGTTAGATGTTAAGACAGGTGTAACAGGACCTGGGGAAGTGGCTCAGAGGTTAAGAGCTCTGGTTGCTCTTCCAAAAGACCTGAGTTCGACTCTCAACACCCACATGGTAGCTTATAATGATCTCCAACTTCAGTGCCAGGGATTGGACACTCTCTTCTGGCCTCTGTGCCCACCAAGGCTGCATGTGGTGCACAGGCATATGTAGAGACCAAACACCCATACACATAAATAAACAAGCAAACAAACATGATCAATTTAACAGTGATTTGATACCATTATGTAATAGAGAATAAAGGACACAAATCATTACTGTGACCTTTGTCCCACAGAATAAGTCAGAAAGAAGCTCAATTCTGCCAGGCTCTAAACTCCTTGATTCCTAAGCCAAACCTTGGAAGCAAACACTATGCTCTGTTTTACAACTTTACAGAAGCAGTAATAAATCAAAGCCTTGGTTTTTGTATTTTTCTAGAGGAAATAATTAGTTACTTGATCAATAATAAAATTTTTCTAGGAATCTATTTCCTGAGTTTGTTTCCTAAAGACTTTGTGTGAGAACCAACTAACGCAAACAGTTCCTATTGGTCTATAAATTTACCAACTAGGTTGGAAAACTAAAATATGCAGGAAAGAGAGGAAATAGAGATCCTAATCTCAACATACTGCAATTATTAAAATGGGTATATACATGCATTCTAAACAATTTTGCTCACAAAATTCACTGCAAAGAGATAAACTTTTTTTTTTTACTAGAAACAAAATAATGCTAATGCATTTCTTGTTTTGTGGGTGTCATAATGACCTAGATGGTGCTAAACCTGAACTCACTATCCACCATCATGGATTTTAAAGGAACCATGAAAATTTAATTGCCTTACTATATATTGTGGAGTCACTAAGATGCATTTTTTTATAGATCAGCATTGACTTACAAGGGACTGGGACAGCAGTTGTGAAAGCAACATCTAAGCAGGATTCACAGAAGCCATCAGGAATTGGTTTCTTTGTCAAAACTCCTCACAACTTCATTAAAACTTAGAAGCATGTGGTTTGTTTGTATGTATTTGTTCTTTCATTGTTTTTGGTTTTCCCATTTCTTCATACAAGCCGACACTTGGTCTGCACGCTCCTCTCCAAGCTTCCTCTGAGCTCGACCTGCCTGTCACTGCTCTCTCCTTTTCAAGGCATCGTTCCGTGTAGACCCATTATTTCAAAAAAGAACATAACAGACCAAGAGATGTCCCTGCCTTACACCCATGGTCTTCTTCCAATCTTAAAGGTTGTCTTAATTTCTTGGAAACAGAGTCAGTGAGAATTGACTATTTTGAACCTTGGTAGCCATTACGTGATCCATTTCCCCTTTTAGTAAACTGAGGGTCACCTCGTTCCCTAATGTTCTTTTTGATAAATTCATCACTCTCTTTTTCTGGAGTAAAAATTGAATTTTGTTAAATCTGAACCTGTGACTCTTCCTTTTTTTTTTGGTTTTTTTTTTTTTTTTTTTTTTTTTTTTTTGGTTTTTTCGAGACAGGGTTTCTCTGTGTAGCTTTGCGCCTTTCCTGGAACTCACTTGGTAGCCCAGGCTGGCCTCGAACTCGCAGAGATCCGCCTGGCTCTGCCTCCCGAGTGCTGGGATTAAAGGCGTGCACCACCACCGCCCGGCAACTCTTCCTTTTTTTAACCTTCAGTGTGACAAGTGTAGCATTTTGTGAAGGAC